TTCTGTTATACTATAAAAACCATGTGTCATACTGAATTACTAGCCAGTCTTGCATGATTAATTGAGTACTTGCATATGTTGGCATATTTTCCATGCTGTAACTTTTGAAATAACATTCGGAAAACAAATTTGATCTTGGTGTGCTTACTGTGCTGAAGTGTACTTTTGATTGTTTTACATATTTTTCGATTTTTTTTTTTTTTAATTTAAATTTTTTCTCCAGGTGGGTATTTCTTCAGGAGGAGCAGCAGCTGCTGCTATTCAGGTTGCAAAGAGACCTGAAAATACCGGAAAGCTTATAGCGGTATGCAATTTTTTTTTTTTTCATATTTGATGACTGCCAAATTCCGTTTTTGTAGTTGCTGATTTCTTCGAGTCTGAAGTTTGATAAGCATTCGCTATGTAGAAACTCAAGTGCATGCTCGGATACCAATTTTCTCAAAAAATTTATTTAATTTTAACCAATCACTTTTTAACTAAAATTTAACTCAACTTTAACTCAACTTCACTATCTTCAATATTATCAATATAATCAAAATTCTTACAAATTACATCAACTTTTTAATTCACTATTCATTCACTCACATAATTTTAACTTACCATTTATTCACATCATGTCTCTTGAGTTTACATCAAATCAACTTTAATTGTTTTATTTTAAATGTTATTTTAATATAAACTCAACATCCCACTAACAATTAACCATACCACTCTTTTCAAAATTAACCAAACAAAATAAAAAAATTTCAAACAAAATTAAGACATCTTATATCCAAGCACATGTGTGGTTGCATAAGTTTCGTTACCCCTGAAATACAGAAATATTTGCGACTTAAAAGCGAGTGAGTGAAAAATTTTCACCTTTTCCCAGTCATATTTGATATGCCCAAGATTATTATGTGTCGAAGTGAATAGTAAAACCAGTTTTTGCCTTATGTTCCTATGTCATATTTCTTGCCACTCTTTTGAATCGAAAAAATCCATTTGTTGTAGGTCATTTTTCCTAGTTTTGGGGAGAGATACTTATCAACGGATCTCTACCAGTCCCTATGGGAAGAAGTTGAGAAGATGCAACCTGAAGCGTGAATACGTTAGTTCCTTTCGCCTGATTTTTTTGTTTTTTTGGCTAAACAAATATCGATCTTTTTGGAGTAGCGATTTTCCGCTTTTCTGGACATTACTGAAATTGGTGTTTTCTTCCGATATAGGAAGAGTCTTGTGTATTTTTATCCAAGCAAAAGCAGGTTTAGTTCGATTTGTTCGTGTTCGTGTGCATAGCTCAATCGATGAACTTAGGAAGATGGGTTTTGTGCATTTTGTTTTGTTATCAATCTCTCTCTTTTCTTCTCCTTTTAACGAATTGTATGTCAACCATTTTAACGATTTTTATGTCAACTATTACGTTATTGTAGCATATTATCGTATCTACAACGCATTTACCTGAATTCGAAATTGTTAGGCTTCACACTTAATAAGAACATATTTATATAAAATTCATACCATACTATGACATGAAATATTTTTATACTTAATATATTTTAAAGTATGTCATTGCAGTATTAAAGTGTTTATTTTATTATAAAAAAATATGAATGTCTAACAACTAAACAAAGTAACAACATTACTATTAACTTTTGAAGTTGCTAAAATTTCTAATTTAATTCAATGAAATTCCATCACCCTGTAATCCAAATTTTATACAATTACATAACGACCAAAAAAAAAAAATTATACAATTACAATTAATTTCAAACCACTTCCACATAAATCAATCATTTAATGTTGAGGATACTAAAAGTTACTAAGTTGAAGATTCTACAATGGGCGCTACTATTTACCGCCCCCCTTATTACTAGTCACCGCCCCCCTTGGACGATTTTGCCCTTCTC